GAGGCCTGGACCCCTGGGTGTGAGGGAGGAGGGGTGGGGGCCCTGGGCCTGAGGGAGGAGGGACTGAGGCCTGAACTCCTGGGTCTAAAGGAGGAGGAGGGGCTGGGGGCCTGGACTTCTGGGTTTGAGGGAGGAAGGGCAGAGGGCCTGGGTTTGAGGGAAGAGGGGCTGAGGCCTGGACCCCTGGGTCTGAGGGAGGAGGGGCTGGGGCCAGGACCCCTGTGTCTGAGGGAGGAGGCACTGGGGCCTGGACCCCTGGGTCTGAGGGAGGAGGGGCTGGGGCCAGGACCCCTGTGTCTGAGGGAGGCGGCACTGGGGCCGGGACCCCTGGCTCCTGGATGCAGTAGGTGGTATGTGCCAGACCGCAGCTCTCCAGGCGCAGGTACTACCTGAGTTTCTCGTCCACGGTGGGCAGGTATGTCTTCTGGTACAGGGTGGAGGCAGCTGCCTTTGCTGAGTCCCAGTAACTGGAGAGTGATTCTTGCATCTGGGTAAGCAGGGCGGGGCTGGCCGGCTCTTCTTGCTGGGGCAGATGGGCCCCCAGGACCTCTGCAGGGGGAGAGTGTGTCAGGGGAGTGCGTGGGGCTGCAGCAGAGGAAAAGAAGGTAGGAAGGAGAGGGGAGGGCAGAGGCAGGGGTAGGAAGCGCCTGGGTTGGGAAGAGGCTTGGAATTCATTCCCCGGAACCTCCCTCTGCTGAAGCCCACACTCACCGAATCCCAGTACCAGGAGGACAAGAAACAGAGCTAGGAGGAATCGTGTGCCCATGGTGTCAGGAGACCTGCCACATGGAGGGGGTGTCATACGGCAGGCCGACTGGAGGCAGCCTAGCGGGGGAACTGAATCCTGCTCCTTGTTCGCTGCATGTCCGGGCAGCTTCCTCACGCCTGGGCTGGGACTCGGCCCCCTTCTTGGGCCTTACTTTCCAACATTCTGTGATTCTACTCCTTTTGTTAACATTGTAATTTTTTTTTTTTTTTTGAGGCTGAATCTTGCTTTGTCGCTCAGGCTGGAGTGCAGTGGTGTGATCTTGGCTCACTGCAACCTCCACCTCCCAGGTTCAAGCAATTCTCCTGCCTCAGGCTCCCAAGTAGCTGGGATTACAGGTAGATGCCACCGTGACCAGCTAATTTTTTTTTTGAGACAGTCTCGCTCCATCACCAGGTGCCAGGCTGGAGTGCAGTGGCGCGATCTCGGCTCACTACAACCTCCACCTCTCGAGTTCAAGCAGTTCTGCCTCAGCCTCCCAAGTAGCTGGGATTACAGGCATGTGCCACCATGCCCAGCTAATTTTTGTATTTTTAGTAGAGATGGGTTTTCACCATGTTGGCCAGGCTGGACTTAAACTCCTGACCTCAGCTGGGCGTGGTGGTGGCTCACGCCTGTAATCCAGGCACTTTGGAGGCCAAGGCAGGCGGATCACCTGAGGTTGGGAGTTCAAGACCAGCCTGACCAACATGGTGAAACCCTGTCTTTAAAAAATAATAACAATTAAGGCCGGGCGCGGTGGCTCACGCCTGTAATCCTAGCACTTTGGGAGGCTGAGGTGGGTGGATCACCTGAGGTCAGGAGTTCAAGCCTGGCCATCATGGAGAAACCCCATCTTTAAAAAAATAATAAAATAATAATTTTAGGCCGGGCGCGGTGGCTCAAGCCTGTAATCCCAGCACTTTGGGAGGCAAAGGCGGGTGGATCACGAGGTCAAGAGATCGAGACCATCCTGGTCAACATGGTGAAACCCCGTCTCTACTAAAAATACAAAAAATTAGCTGGGCATGGTGGTGCGTGCCTGTAATCCCAGCTACTCAGGAGGCTGAGGCAGGAGAATTGCCTGAACCCAGGAGGCGGAGGTTGCAGTGAGCCGAGATCGCGCCATTGCACTCCAGCCTGGGTAACATGAGTGAAACTCCATCTCAAAAAAAAAAAAAATAATAATAATAATAATAATTTTAAAAATAAATAAATAAATAAACTCCTGACCTCATGATCTGCCCACCTCAGCCTCCCAAAATCCTGGAATTACAGGCACGAGCCACTGCACCGGCCTGTTTTCATTTTTGTTTTGAGACAGGGTCTCACTCTGTGGCCCATACTTAAGTGCATTGGTACAATCACAGCTCAATGCAGCCTCGACCTCCTGGACTCAAATGATCCAAGTAGCATCGGCACATGCCACCACGCCCAGCTAATTTTTATTCTTTCGTAGACATGGGATATTTGCTTTGTTGCCCAGGCTGGTCTGGAAGTCCTGGGCTCAAGCAGTCCTCCCATCTCGGCCTCCCCAAAGTGCTGACAGTATAGGTGTGAGGCACTGAGGCCAGCCTAGAAGCCTCTCTTGAGCACCTAAACAGTTCTGGGCCCAGTAGGGAACACAGCGAAGGCCCTGCCTGTTGGTAAGGCTGAGTTGGTGCAGCGAGGTGCTCTGCACACACTGTTAAGGACTCACACTAGATCGGACACGTTTCCTTTGGGCTCTGCCCTAAGTCAGACCCATCTCCCTGCACCTGCTCATTGAGTCCTCACCCACCCACTCTTGGTGATGACAAACATCCGCACGGCACAATATCGTCATCCACACTTAGGAGATGAGGAAGCTACAGCAGAAAGAGGTTGAGTCCTGAGCCCCAGAGAACAAGCAAATGGTCTACAATTTTTTTTCCAGCCTGTCACCCAGTGGTGCGGTTTTGTCTCACTGCAACCTCCATCTCCCAGTTTCAAGTAATTCTCCTGCTTCAGCCTCCTGCGTAGCTGGGATTACAAGCATGCGCCACCATGCCTGGCTCATGTTTGTATTTTTAGTAGGGATGGCGTTTCTTCACGTTGGCTAGGCTGATCTCAAACTCCTAACCTCAAGTGATCCGTCCGCCTTGGCCTCCCAAAGTGTTTGGATTACAGGCGTGAGCCACTGTACCCGGCCTACAACTCTTTTTTTAGTTTTTGAAATTTTTTTTTTTTTGAGACAGTCTTGCTCTGTCACCCAGGCTGGAGTGCAGTGGTACGATCTGGGCTCAATGCAACCACCACCTCCTGCGTTCAAGCAATTATTCTGCCTCAGCCTCCTGAGTAGCTGGGATTACAGACGTGAGCCACTGAATCTGACCCTTTTTCTCTTTTAGAAACGGGGTTTCTCCATCACCCAGGTTGGAACACGGTGGCGAGATCATAGCTCACTGCAGCCTCAAACTTCTGGGCTCAAGGGATCTTCTCCACCTCAGCTACCCCAACTCCAGGCACAAGCTCAAATAGGCTACGATTCTAAATTCTGTGATTTGCAGGGTGTGGTGGTGCACCGTAGTCTCAGCTAATGGGGAGGTTGAGGCAGGAGGATTGCTTGAGCCCTGGAGTTTGAGCCTAACCTAGGCAACATAGAAAGACTCCCTCACTGCTGTCTCTGTCTCTGACACACACACACACACACACACACACACACACACACACACACACATATCATGGTTCCAACACAGGCTTCTGACATTGTGCCTCTTACAATTCCTGCTTTATTGATCTTTACCCCCTCCCTGCTGATGCCCTCCCTGCCCCCACGCCCCGGGTCCCTCTCTTACCAGACTGGCAGGCTGTCCTCACCGGCTCTGAATGGGCACAGAGAGGCTTTATAGCTGTTGAGACCCACCTCCGCTCCACAGCCACCACCCCCATCCATGGTCTAGGCCAAAGTCCTGGCCAACAGAACCACCGAGGGGGTGGATAGGGGCAGAAAGGGCAATGACATCTCCCAAGGTCAAGCCACAAGGAAACTTCACGCTAAGAATTCGCCCCTGACAGAGGATGGGCTGGTGGCTGTGGAGGGGTTGGAGGGGTTGGAGGTGCTGGGTGCCCATCGGGAATGGAGTCAGATCTTGCGGAAGACAAAGGCAAAGCTCTCAGTGAGAGCCGTCGTGGAAATCTGCTAACCCCACCCTCACTCTACTCTCCTGAAACTGACTCGCCTCAAGTTCCCCACCCTCTGCAAGCCCACAATGGGGTGTTATCCCTTGACACCCTTCCCTACCCCCCAAATCTCCCTCCCACGTCAGGTGTCACCTATTCTACTCATTAATTCCTGGGAGGGCATGGGGCCACACTAGGGAAGGAGCCAGAGAGGGGCACAGGTGGGACTGTATTTATTGGAGAAGTATGAACTTAATTTTTTCTTTTTTCCCCCCAAGACATCTTGCTGTGTTGCCCAGGCTGGTCTCGAGCTCCTGGGCTCAAGCCATCCTCCTGCCTAAGCCTCCTGAGTAGCTGGGACTACAGGCACACACCACAACCACACCTGGCTTTTATGGACACTTTAATCCTAGTTCTTGTCCGCACAGAGAAGCCTGGGGCACAGGCTGTAGGTCTTGTTCAAGAGGCTGTCTTTGGATTCGAGGAGCCAGGTCTTGGTGCGAGGACCCAGGTCCCTCAGATGGTCGTCATAGTAGGTCTGCATGAAGCCCCGGAGGGTGCTGAGGCTCCTGTCGCAGAGAGGACATCACAGTGCAGACCCCAGCGATCCCCAGCTGTTCTGTGCCCCATTGATCTGACTCTCTGATCCAGGAGTTCCTGCTCTCACATCTAACCCTCCACTCCTCCCAGACCCAGGGGTCACAGCCCCACTCCCACCCTTTCTGCCTCCCTCAGACCCAGGGGTTTAGACCCCAGCCCCTTCCTCCCTTAGGCCTGTGGATCCAGGCCCCAGCCCCCTCCTCCCTCAGACCCAGGGGTACAGGCCCCCAGCCCCCTCCTCCCTCAGACCCAGGAGTCCAGGCTCCAGCCCCCTCCTCCCTCAGACCCAGGAGTCCAGGCTCCAGCCCCCTCCTCCCTCAGACCCAGGAGTCCAGGCTCCCAGCCCCTCCCCCCTCAGGCCCAGAGGTACAGGCCCCAGCCCCCTCCTCCCTCAGACCCCGGATCCAGGCCCCAGCCGCCTCCTCCCTCAGACCCAGTAGTCCCCTCCTGTAGTCCAGCCCAGCACACACTTACCAGAGCCACTGCCACCTGTCTCTGGTCCTGGTCACTGCTGGCTCCAGGAGCTCCTTTATCCTGCTCTGCACCAGGTTCCAGCGACTCGTCTTTTGCTCTGGTGGGGGGCTTGGGGTGCCTTCATAGGCTTCTGACTGGCATGCTAGGTTGGAACCAGAAGGCAGCTGGGGTGGGCTAGGACCCTAGATCCCCCCTCCTCCCTTCCCCTCCATGCTCATCAGTCACTCCTGGTGGCACAGGGGCAGCCCCCTGCCAGTCCTCTCGCCTCTTGCCTTTACCCTTTATGTCCCCTGACTTCCTATTCCTCTTTAACCATCAGCCATCTCTCTCTCTTTTTTTTTTTTTTGAGACGGATTCTCTGGCTCTGTTGTCCAGGGTCAAGGGCAGTGGCTTGATCTTGGCTCACTGCAAACTCCACCTCCCGGATTCAAGCAATTTTCCTGCCTCAGCCTCCTGAGTAGCTGGAATTATAGGTACCTGCCATCATGCCCGGCTAATTTTCGTATTTTTAGTAGAGATGGGGTTTCACTATGTTAGCCAAGCTGGCCTTGAACTCCTGATCTCAAGTGATCTGCCCACCTTGGCCTCCCAAAGTGCTGGGATTACAGGCATGAGCCAGTGCACCCAACCGGGCCATCTCTTCGCCGTGTGTCAGCAGCCCGTCTTGTCACTGTCTGCCTGTGCTTTCCCTCTAATTCCCACTCTAACTGCCATCCTCTGATGCCTCCCTTCACCACCTGATCTTGCTGCCCAGGAACACCTCCTTCCCCCTTAGTTCTGCTGTGACCCCTACCCTGTCTGAGCTACCTCTATGGACAGTGGAGGGAGAGCAGGAGGTGACTTTCTTCCCCAGGGCTTAGCCTTGCTGTCAGTTTCTCTTTTTAGGCCAGACCTTCTACCCATGCACCTGGACAAAGCCTCGCCTACAGGGACCAGCCGTCACGCAGGGGCCACCTGTGACCGGCTGTGTGCCTCGGCCAGTGACTTAACCTCTCTCTCCACGACTCAGTTTCCCCTTCTGTAGAATGGGATAATAGTACCTACCTCAGGGTCATTGTGAGATTTGAGAGTTAATACATACGATACATATAGAATGGTGCCTTGTACATTGTAGACGCTATACACATGTTAAAAATTTAAATGCCGGCCGGGTGTGTGGCTCACGCCTGTAACCCCAGTACTTTGGGAGGCCAAGGCGAGCAGATCACCTGAGGTCAGGAGTTCAAGACCAGCCTGGGCAACATGGCAAAACCCCGTCTCTACAAAAAATATAAAAAATTAGCCAGGTGTGGTGGTGCGTGCCTGTAGTCCTAGGTACTCTGAAAGCTGAGGCAGAATTGCTTGAACCCAGGAGGTCGATGGTGCAGTGAGCCGAGATCGCGCCACTGCCCTCCAGCCTGGGAAACAGAGTGAGACTCTGTCTCAAAAAAAAAAAAAAAAAAAAAAAAAGCCAGTGCAGTGGCTCACACCTGTACTCAACATTTTGGGAGGCCAAGGCAGGTGGATCACCTGAGGTCAGGAGTTCAAGACCAGTCTGACCAACCGTGGAGAAATCCAGTCTCTACTAAAAATACAAAATTAGCTCAGCCTGGTGGCGCATGCCTGTAATCCCAGCTACTTGGGAGGCTGAGGAAGGAGAATTGCTTGAACCTGGGAGGTGAAGATTGCAATGAACTGAGGTTGTGCCGTTGTACTCCAGCCTGGGCAACAAGAGTAAAACTCTGTCTAAAAAAAATGCATATGCAAAGCACACATGTACACACCAGCACACACTCACAGACCCCTCACATGCATCCACACACTCAATATTTTGCACACACATACCCCACAGAGAGGTTCACGCAAACATATGCACTCATGATCACAGACATGCACTTTTTTTTTTTTGAGATGGAGTCCTGCTCTGTTGCCCAGGCTGGAGTGCAGTGGCGTGGTCTCAGCTCAGACAGCCTCCCAAGTTCAGACAATTCTCCTGCCTCACCTTCCCCAGTAGCTGGAATTACAGGTGCCTGCCACCATGCCTGGCTAAGTTTTGTATTTTTAGTAGAGATAGGGTTTCACCAGGTTGGCTAGGCTGGTCTCAAACTCCTGACCTTGTGATTCACCCGCCTCGGCCTCCCAAAGAGCTGGGATTACAGGTGTGAGCCACTGTGCCTGGCCAGACACGCACTTTTACCATGACTGCATACTCCCATTTGCATGCACACACACATACACAGGTGATCCGCGTGTACCAATGTGACATTCACACTTCATGCTCAGCCACTGACACACACACTCCCTGACATACATATGCATACGCATGCCATGAAACATACACGCTGGGCACTCATGTCTCATGCAGCTACAAAGCCATAGGACACACAGCCACACTCATACCCACCAGGATGTGGGCCCCACATCCCTCCACCCTCTTCTTCTCACCCCCAATGCAGGCCAGGACCAGCACGCAGAGGCACAGCGAGGGCAGGGCCTGGAGCCTGTGTCTGAGGAGGAACATTTCTAGGGGTTCTGTCCGTCTGTCCCTCTGCTCACTCTGTGGGCCGGGGGAGGGGAGGCTGCCTGGAGCAGTGCCCTCCCCCGGCCACCTCCCCACGCCCCTTGGCAGGGACTTTAGAGAGCAGGGACCAGGTGACAGCGGCAATCAGAGGTCATGCTTCTGTGGGCCTCCCTCCTGTCCATGCCACATCATGCTCTGAGAGAAGACAGACGGCTCTTGAGCCTCCTGTGCTGAGGCAAGTTCAAATCCACCTCCATCACAGCCTCATTTGCTGGACTCAGTTTCCTCCTTTGTAAAATGGGAGGCACAGTCCATATTTCAGGACATTAACTGAATAGCATAAATAGAAAGGCCAGGCGCCACAGCTCACACCTGTAATCCCAGCACTTTGGGAGGCTGAGGAGGGCGGATCATATGAAGCCAGGAGTTTGAGACCAACCTGGCCAACATGGTGAAATCTCCTCTCTATTAAAAATATAAAAATTAGCCAGGCTTAGTGACCTGCGCCTGTAATCCCAGCTACTCAGGAGGCTGAGGCAGGAGAATCGCTTGAACCTGGGAGGTGGAGGTTGCAGTGAGCCAAGATCTCTCCACTGCACTCCAGCCTGGACAACAGAGCAAGACTCTGTCTCAAAAAGCAAACAAAGGCGGCCGGGCCTGGTGGCTCACACCTGTAATCCAAGCACTTTGGAGGCCAAGGAGAGTGGATCACCTGAGGTCGGGAGTTCAAGACCAGCCTGGCCAACATGGTGAAACCCCATCTCTACAAAAATACAAAAATTAGCTGGGCATGATGGTGGGTGCCTGTAATTCCAGCTACTCGGGAGGCTGAGGCAGGAGAATCGCTTGAACCCAGGAGTTGAAGGCAGCAGTGACCATGGTTGTGTCACTGCACTCCGGTGACAGAGCAAGACTCCAAGACTATCTCAAAAAAGAAAAAAACCCTGAAAAAAAAAAACAAAGAAAGCTCTTACCGTGGAGCCTGGCAATATGGGTGCTCAAAGATCATTGCCGCTATTATTTTGTGTCTAATTTCTCCTAGCCCCTGGGCTGCGGGGCCAGGCGCGTGGTAGGGCCTCAGCAGGGCCCAAGGGGTGATGTCAGGAAACAGCAACACAGTCTCATATCTCCAGCCTCCGTTTCCTCCGGGGTGGGCTGGGGCCCAGTCACCTCCAAGCATCCCCGGACTTCTCAATTCCAGCTCTTTCTCCTCTGGGTGACTCTGGCTTCCGACAGACCTGGGCTTCAAATCCCGACTCCTTCACCCTGTGAGCTGGGCAAATACGTTCTCTTTTCTGGGGCTCGTATTTTTCAACTGTAACACAGGTTGACAGGAAGCACCTGCCTCCCAGCATCCGCGTGCAGGAGGGTTGAGGCGGCTGCAGAAAAGCTGCAGGTGCGCATTTTAGGAGGTCATCAACATCAGCCCCAGGGCCAGGCGGATGGCTCCCACCTGTAATCCCAGCCCTTTGGGAGGCTGAGGCAGGCAGACCGCTTGAGCCCAGGAGTTTGAGACCAGCCTGAGCAACAAGCTGCAACGTCGTCTCTTTTTATTATTATTATTTTATTGTTTATTAAAAAATTTTTTTATATGCCGCCACCTCCAGCCCTCCACATCAGCCAATGGCAGGAGGGAGTGGCTGAAACCCCATCTTTACAAAAAATACAAAAATTGGCCAGGCACAGTGGCTCATGCCTGTAATCCCAGCACTTTGGGAGGCTGAGGCAGGCAGATCAGTTGAGGTCAAGAGTTCAAGACCCGCCTGGCCAACATGGTGAAACCCTGTCTCTACTAAAAATAGAAAAATTGTCCAGGTGTGGTGGTGCACACCTGTAATCCCAGCTACTCGGGAGGGGTGACAGAGAAAGACACTGTCTCAAAAACAAAACAACAACAACAAAAACCAACAAAAAAACCCCACATCAGAACAGTCCCAGTGCCAGAAATAAAAAAGCATTTTTCAGCCGGGCACGGTGGCTCAAGCCTGTAATCCCAGCACTTTGGGAGCCAGAGGCAGGTGGATCACGAGGTCTAGAGATCGAGACCATGGACTGGATTCTTTTGTCTACACTTGTCAGACAAAATAGAGAAGGCTCAGCTGGGCACGGTGGCTCATGCCTGTAATCCCAGCACTTTGGGAGGCCGAGGCAGGCGGATCATAAGGTCGAGAGATTGAGACCATCCTGGCCAACATGGTGAAATTCATCTCTACTGAAAATACAAAAGTTAGTTGGGCATTATGGCGCACGCCTGTAGTTCCAGCTACTTGGTAGGCTGAGGCAGGATAATCGCTTCAACCCAGGACACGGAGGTTGCAATGAGCCAAGATGGCGCTGCCACTGCATTCCAGCCTGGGTGACACAGTGAGACTCCAATAAAAAAAAAAAAAAAAAAAAAAAATATATATATATATATATATATATATATATATATAAAGAAGGCCTAATTACATTTGAATTTCAAATCAACAATGCATGATATTTTAGTATAAATATGTCCCATGTGAGGCAGCACACACTGGGGTCTGTTAGGAGGGACTAGGGGAGGGACAGCTTGAGGTAGGGCGTTGGGGAGGGATAACATGGGGAGAAATGCCAGATTTAGGTGACGGGGATGGAGGCAGCAAGCCACATTGCCATGTATGTGCCTATGCAACAATCCTGCATGTTTTGCACATGCACCCCAGAACCTAAAGTGCAACAGAATATGTGTATATATAAAATATATGTCCCATGCAACATTTGGGAATTACACCAAAACTTTTTTTGCTATTAATCTGAAATTCCAATCTAACTGAGCATCCTGCATTTTTATATGGCAAATCCGCAAACGCAACCTTGGCCACAACCTGAACGACTGTGCAGGACTATCCTGACCCAGATGTCAGCCTCGGCAGAATCCTGTCGATCCCAGAGGCCCCAGCTGAGCACAGTAGGTGAGCAACAAATGTCCCCTGGAGTTCTCAGGTAGCAATCGTCAGCAGATAGAAAACACCCAGAGTTTCTGTTTGGGATGACGAAAATATCCTGGAAATAGTGGGGATGGTTACACAACAGTGTGAATGTGCTTGATGCCACTGAACTGTACACCTAAAAATGGCTTCGGTGGTAAGTTTGTTTTTTATGTTTTTCTTTTCTTTTTTTTTTTTTTTTGAGGCAGAGTCTTGCTCTGTCGCCCAGGCTAGAGTGCAATGGCGCGATCTCAGCTCACTGCAACCTCTGCCTCCTGGGTTCAAGTGATTCTCCTGCCTCAGCCTCCCAAGTAGCTGGGATTACAGACACCTGCCACCATGCCTGGCTAATTTTTTGTATTTTTATAGAGATGGGAGTTTCACCATGTTGGCCAGGCTGGTCTCAAACCCCTGACCTCTCAGATGATCTGCCCACCTCAGGCTCCCAAAGTGCTGGGATTACAGGTATGAGCCACTGTACCTGGCCGCCCAGCTAATTTTTTAATTTTTTGTAGAGACAGTTTTGCCAAGTTACCCAGGCTGGTCTTGAACTCCTGGG